GGTTTTTTTGTTTTACTTATTTTTAATAGACTATTTTTGAGAGACATTTTAGGTTCACAGCAAAACTGAGAGAAAGTACAGATTTTCCATCTATCCCCATGTTTGTTTCCTTTTTTAAATATCTTGGCTAAATATATCGCCTAGGAAAAAAGAAAGAAAAGGATACGGATAAAGCAAGGATGTTAATCTCCACATCCAGTCAAACATGGAACTCTTCTGGATCACTCTACCACTATCAGAGCCTCATAGGGCAGCTGGCTAGAATTAAAAATATTGAGCTTAAAGAAAAGCAGGTGCCAGAGGTGAGGGACATCAGTCTTCATTACGCAGGTCTGGTTCTGACAATCTCCCATGAATTTTAAGGTTGGATTTACTTTACGGATCCACACTTGAGCTGAGATGAAGACATGACAAGTATTTAAACAATGTCAGGCTCACTAAGAACGCATGCTTGTAAAAAATGAAAAGATACTCAACTATTGCTAATGAGAGAAACACAAAAGAATGAGAACCCATTTCACACCTACTGGATTGGTTTTCAAAGTCACATAATGCCAAGTAGTGAAAAGAAATAGAGAAACTGGCTGATGGGATGCAAACTAAAACTAAACTTCACAAAGCTCTTTTTCTCAAAGTTGCAAAAGGATGCGTGAAGCATGGTAACATTTATATAAAAACTAAAAATATATCAAGGAAACATATTACATATACACACATGTACAGCTCAAAGTGTAGAACATCAATGAGAATCAAATGAATCAGTTGCAGGTGACTATGTTGAACTGTACCTGAGCCCTGTGCTCCTACAAAGCAGAGATGATTAAGAAATCCACTCCCGTCATTTTGTGTTCAGGGTAACAAAATGACCCTGCCCTTGCTCACCCCCAGATTAAGACCCGTCCCCAGGCTTTCTCAAGACTCCTCAGTTTACCAGCCCCAGGTTTCTTTCTTTTTTGCAGATGTTCCTCATTTTAATTAATGTTCTCTCAATTCCAATAGCCTGCAAAAATCATCTCCTTAATTGGCCAGTAAGTGTATTACTTCTTTGACAAGGAGACATTACCTCTAGGGAGGGAAGGAAATGGGATGAAGAAGATACATAATTTACCTAACATAAAAATCTGAAATATGGCAAAAAGTTAATCTTCTCTTTTTTTTGTACAAAGGAACCTGTTATTCTGTGTACCTTCCTGCTTAAAATGTTTCAAAATTAATTTTAAAATTATTTTAAAACCAGATAGAGAGTCAGAAAAGGCCCCAAGTCATTAATCCTTTACAGACTGTTTTCAAGTATGTTAAATGGGTACAGGAATAATACATGACCAGCCTTTTCTACTGGACGGCTTTAAGTAAAAATGTTTTTGCTTATCATCAGGTGGTAGGATACACTTATAATTCATTCTGAGCCAACAGCTCAGTTTGTTAGACCGAGTTCTGACCAGAGTGAGGTTAAGGAAGAATTGATACTTTTGAACTCTGCTTCTGGAGGACTCTTGAGAGTCCCTTGGACTGTAAGGAAATCCAACCAGTCCATCCTAAAGGAAATCGGTCCTGAATATTCATTGGAAGGACTGATGTTGAAGCTGAAACCCCAATACTCTGACCACCTGATGCGAAGAGCTGACTCATTTGAAAAGACCCTGATGCTGGGAAAGACTGAAGGTGGGATGAGGAAAAGGGGACGACAGGAGGAAAAGGGGATGACACAGAGGACGAGATGGTTGAATGGCATCACCGACTCAATGGACATAAGTTTGAGTAAACTCTGGGAGTTGGTGATGGACAGGGAGGCCTGGCGTGCTGCAGTCCATGGGGTCCCAAAGAGTCAGACACGACTGAGCAACTGAACTGAAGGGTTAGATCATCACGCAGACCTTTACTGTTTCGGAGGCAAGACTACACTGACTCCCCAGAGAGCCACACAGCTATGATGCAAATGCATTTACACCATCACAAGAGTAGCTAGGCCGGTCTCTTGTGATGTGTCAATCCATACCCAAGAGGAAGAACTACTCAGCAGATAACCCTAGGAATTTGACGGTAGGCTGGTAATAATCTTCGTATGAGGAAACTGGCACACCCAAGGTTTGTTTGGAGTGTGTATATGGTTCCTGTGAAGGGCACGCTTATGGGGTGTTTTTTGGGTTTTTTTAATTTTTTTTTGGCACTGTAAAGTGAGACTTTGCAAACATGAATTTTAAACTCATTTTAAACTGCCCAGGGTGATTTCTGGAGTTGGTTTCAAATTACTTTATTCTCAAGTGCTTCTAGAAGTGAGTGAGTACCAGGAAGTGATTTTGTTAATGTAGAATAAACTCATCAGCAGTTAATATTTAATCTTAAAAAAAAAAAAGGCTAAGAAACTTGAAAGCAAGCATCTAACCAACAGATCTAAATAGTTTCAAACACAGAGGTAAAGTGCTATAGTCTGGAATAACTTTCAATCTTTTCAATCTTCACTATATTCTTTAACAGCTGGATTGAAGGGAGGATGCTCTTGTGCTCATAAGGCTAAACAGAAGAGTAACCTTTAAAAATAGTCATTTACACAATGAACCTATCTACAGAAGAGACACAGAGAACAAATTCAATTCATGGTTGTGAAGTGGGAGGAGGTTAGGGGAGGGATGGAGTGGGAGTTTGGGACTAGCAGATGGAAACTACTATATACAGAAAGGATAACCAACTAGGTCCTACTGTATAGCAAAAGAAATCATATTCAAATATCCTGTGACAAACCACAATGGAAAAGAATATTTAAAAAGAGAATGTATATGTGTGTATGTAGATATATATGTACAACTGAAGCACTTTTCTGGGCAGCAGAAATTAATACACTGTAAATCAACTACACATCAATTAAAAAAATAGAAATGGTCATCTGCATTCTGAACTCACATTGAAAGCATTCAAACAAGAGAAGTTCATAAGTTCTTCAAAAGTTTGAAATGTATTCAGACTCCACCCATCTTAACTAATTTTTATTTCTCCTCCTCCTGAGCCATAAATAAAACAGACTGTTCATTTTATTTGAATGTACAGAAATAAAGAAGTTAAGCTTTAAAATTCAAGCATTTAACAAAGTAAAAAGGCTTGATTCTTTTTTCTAACAGAAAATGAAGTTATGTCATATCAGAAGGCACTAAAGCAGGCTCCAATCTGATTCAAAGCACTCTCATTGGAGGGGATGATCTTAAATTGATGAAAACTCAAAGCCGTTGGATGAAGTCTTTTAATGTAGAGTAACATATAAAGTAGTATAATCTTAGAGCAGTTAAAAAGTTGTAAGATGCTGATCCTCTCTGTGGCTCACAGAATTAAACCAAAGAAGAATCAAAAATCGAACGCAAATTCCTACTCCGTATTCTCAGTCATCAAGAAACTACTGGTTAATCTTTTTTCTTCCACTAATGAGCCAGTTGACATAGCTATGAAAGAATACCTTAAGAAAACTCAAACTGTTACTCAGTGAAAACATTTTGTATGCAGATGAACTGGTCCCAGCTGCTTTCAGGCAGACAGATGCAATAACAGTGTAATATTTCTAGCAAAGTCTGGTAAGCCTTCGCCTGCAAATCATTGACCAAAAATGGTAACAGTGTGCGCGGAGTAAAGAAAATGACTAAATGTTCTACTTGGTTGTCCAGTTAATACCACGGTTCTACAGCAAACTAGAATGCCACTTTGGAGAGGAAAATAGGTACATTAAGCAAAAGGTCCAACATCTAGAATAAGCGGAACTTATTCACCTGTTTACTTTCAAGCAACTCGGATAACTTGATAGACTTGACAAAGCTTTTTCATTTACTTTTACTAGCATCCCAGCGTCAGGGACGCCCCGCTGTACGCCAAGGGCTGGCAGAGCCAACATGTTTGCAGGTAAAAGAAAATCTGTGACCACACGGGGAGGCCAGACAGGCCACCGCCCGGCAGGACGGGCGGCAGTCCAGTGCCACAGGCCGGGTTCGGAATAGCCCGGGTCAGGCCGGGTGGTTATCCCGCGCCCCCCTCCCCCGCCCCAGGTGGCTCAATCAAGGCCTCATTCCTTCCCCTAGATGCACAGACCTCCCGGGCCGAAACCGCCCGAGTCGCTGACCGCCAGCGCCTGGCCTCGACCAAACCAGCGCCGACGAGGCCCCCACTGGAGGGAGGGCAGGCGGGCCCTGGCGGCGAAGCCGGGGAGCCGGGAGGTCGGCCCCAGCTGGACTGCCGAGGCCGCGCGGGAGGCCTCGCGGCGGCGGCGACAGCAAGAACGTGGCGGCCGCCTAGTAGCCCCGGCGCGCGGCCCAGGGGTCGCGGCGGCGGAAGCCGGGGCCCCTTCTTCCCTCCCTTGCCGCCCCGACCTCGCGGCGCCCCAGGACTCCGCTCACCATGTTCGCCGCAGCGATCGCAGAGCGCGGAGAGGGAGGCGGCTGTCGCCGAGTCTACCGAGCGTCCTCTTCACCGCAGCCCGGGCGAGCCTCCCGGGGGTGGGCCGGCGCCGGGGGCCCGACGCGGCTGCGCACGTCACGAGCTGCCCACCGTTGCTAGGCAACCGGCCGGCCTGGCAACGCCCCGTCCCCGCGGACCCTCCCCACCCCCCCACCTCCACCCCCTAGCCTCTGACTCCAGGCAGGCGGGGTCCTCCTCAGCTTCCGGAGACGGGGGTGTGGATTCAATACCCCTCATCAATTAGGGGCGCGGACGAGGTCCTCCCCAAGCTCGGACGAGGAGGCGGGGCTTGAGAGAGGGGCGGGGCCACGTGGAGCCCCCGCCCACTGCGCTGCCGTTTTCCTTACATGGAAGTAGCCACCTGGCCAGGTGTGCGCCGCGGCGAGGGGCGGGGCCGGAGGGGGTGCTGAGGAGGGCCGAGGGGCGGGGCCTGGGGGGGGAGCCGAGGAGGGCCGAGGGGGCGGGGCCTGGAGGGGGGGCCGAGGAAGGCAGAGGGGCGGGGCCCGCGGCGGAGCAGACCACAGGGAGGGCCTGCGGGAGCCCGGCGCCGGCCTCGCGGGGGGCGCGTC